TCTCATGCATGTATACCAATGAAGTATCATTTACAACACGTGATAGAGTTCATTGAGGAAATTGCAAGTAAACCAGAACATCACAGTCTGTATTCTACAGCCTTGGGAACACTGTAAGATTAGATTTCTGTAAGCCGGTTTCTTCTGCAATATAAACATCTGACATCTCTAATCAGATTACGCGTGGTTAAGACCTTCCCTTCTTAATATTGCTTTTAGCTGTACTGGCTTGTAATCCCTTCAAAGTATATGACTCTTCCCAACTGACCAAGACAGACACTTTTATGGACAAGATCCTTTTGTTCAGGATGTTATTTCCTTCTGACAACCAAATGGAAAAGACTGTAACTGCCAAAAGAGAGATTTCTTTCATACAGGCTATAACTGGCAGACAGCAAATACCAAGACAGACTGGCTGCTGGATATCATATATTAAGAAAATGAGATACATTGCATTTACACAAATGTGCACTGAGAAGTCACGTTTGGCAGAAGAACAAAGCCTTATCTTTAACACAGCACTTACACTTACAAAAGCTTGTCGTTTGCATTTACTGTAGGTGTAAGTAGCTATCGCAACAAAGCTGAAACTAAAATAACAGTCCTTATTAAACAGCCTGGCCTGCTTATTCTCAGCATGACCTGGGTGGGAGCTAAGCGTGCCAGAGCGACTGGGTGGGCAGGCAGCGCTGCGCCAGGACCTCCCGATCCCCTCCAACATCCACAGTTCAAAGAGCCGAGAGGGAACCGCAGCTTCGCAAGCAACCCAGCAGAACGTTTTAAGCATGATTACATGGAGATGACAGTAGATCTATGTGGATATTACCCATCCACTTTATACAAAGAAAAAAAAACCACTCAGGCCTGTCTACAGGGCCGGCCAGCGCCAGAGTGCCGCTCTGCAATCACTTCTGCCATCCAGGTCGGCCTTACTTCGAGAGTTTTTATTTCCACTAGCTAGGCGCAAGACGTGCCAGATTTTAAATTCTATTTTTGAAGGCTGGAAGAAACGAGTAAAAACTACTTGAACTTGTAAATGAGCCTTAATTTGAATAAAATACACTAACAGACAAAAAAAAAAAAATACAAATTACAGGTTTCTTGTTTCTGCAGTTATTTTCCCGTATCTCACGGTTCTTTAAGAAGCAGTTATTTAGCTCTAACATACTGGTTTAAGAAATACACGTTTCATTGTTTGAAAGTAATTCCAAAATTCACGGTCCTACACCAGAGTAAGACAAAGACTTGAAACTATGGGTTTTTTTCCCCTTTTTTAACTACACAGCAGCTATTTAATCATTAAAAAATTTTCCACCACGAACCTCCCAAACACACTATATAATAAAACAACCAATTAAGCTATAACACAGATATTTACATTGCTTTTAAGACTATAACAACTCTCTGAAGCTGGGCCTTTAGCACAAACTTGGCAACAGTCTCTCCTCAATAGAGGGCCAACAGGCTATTTTGCTAAAGAAGATCAGATACTTCAGGAAACCCAGGGCCAGTTATATACTCTTGCAATCAGCTACAACAAAGGACTTTATTCTTCTTTGAGGGTATCATAGTTACAAAAGGAAAGCAATAAAAGTTTACAATCGTTACCCAAACTAGGAGGAACAGGAGTGGATTAAGAGTCGATCGTTGGATCTAGGCCCAGCATTCAAGAGAAGCCAACAGCAAAGCAAGGACTTGCGTTACTTGTCCAGGATGAGAAGCTTGGACCGCTTGCGTGGGAGAATAGGGCAAACAAACGCGCTGGGCTGAGATAAAAGTTTTGTAGTATTGGACTCTGCCCTCAGGTTTTAAAGCACGCTCAAGTACAAGCAAGCCAGTTTAAACTTCTTATTCCTTTGGTCTGCTCCGGTTTGGTACTGCAGAGATCCCAAAGCAGGGCTACAACACCGAGGCTGAACAGTCATTTGACCTTTAAGTCACTTTAAGGGCTGGAGGGTGGGTTGGGTTGTTTTGTTTTGTTTAGCAGTTTTTACTAACTTAAAGCTCTTCTCCAATGCAAACTCACTCAAGCTAAAAACAATACACAGAAACATGCTGTTGATAACTGCTGTTTATTACAGGTCCTTAAGACTATGGTTCAGATGGCCATGTTAAGTAGGTCTCCTGCACCGAGCTCCCTAGGCAGACACATGCAGCACCACAGATGGCATAGAGATGATGAAACCATTCCAAGTCTTCCTCCGTCCCTCTCCCCAGGACAAGAGCCTGAGCTCATGCTAACCCTGTGATGACTCTCCCGGAGGAACTGGAGTGGTAGGGTAGGGCCGACAGCCGACACTTTACCTGCTGTTGGGAATTGTAATCGAAGAGCCCCACGGTGGCTGCAGCCGAGTCCACAGGTACTTGAGTGCCAGAATAATCGAACTGAAGAGGCTCCATGCCAACGTGCTCCATGGGATCCAGAGGGACGCTCTGGGACTCGATGTTGGAGAAATCCTCCACCGGCTTAGCACCATTAGTACTTGCCAGCTGGGCTAAGCCCTCTGATCCATTCTGGTTTGGACCCAAAAGATCTACTTCACTAGCAGAGTTCTGGCAATTACCAGGTGTACGGCTATGCAGAAAGAAAAGATACTCGTCACTAAGCATGTCCATTTAATGCTACATCACACAGCATTGATTACCACCAACAGACACCAGTACTCATTAGAGCTGCCTGTAGACGTGATAAAGTGGAAAATAGTAAAAGGACAGTCTGAAATAGTTCCCTAAATGAATTCTACAGAACAATTTATGTCTTTAAAAAAAACAAACAAAAAACGCACCCACAAAACCCCCAGCCTCAAAGACCTGGTACAGTACAAGTATAAGAAAATGCAGTTTCTTTTTTCTCCTCAGCTGAGAGAATCAGTCATAACACAACAGGATTTCAGATATGCCCAAGTTATTTTTTCATAAAGCTATTTGGTAATTTTTAACCATGTGGTGCTCTGGCACTGTATCTCACTTGAAACCTTTCTAAGGGAGCTGCCATGGTTTCCTAATTACCCAACATAAGCATTGGACTCAAATGGTTCATCTCAATGCAAGGGCCAGCAGTTTGCACGTCTCAGCGCATTCCTTTTGCTTTTACAGTTTTCCTACATGTCAACACGAGGGGCAGCAAGCAGGTAAGCTAGCGAAAAATACAAATGCATCAATTAAATCAATAGCCACAATTTCAGAAGGCTTTAATCTCTTGAGAGCTACATGGAAAAAGTTCAAAACCCCAAGTATAATTTGGGCTAGCATATAAGCAGAGTCAACATCTTCAGTAGGTTTTTCCATAGGAATCCCACACAGAGTAATTAAAAAGAGGTGTGAAAATAAAACAAGATTACAATACACAGGACTAGGTCTGCACAGACTGGAGCTATCAGGTGCTACCCTCCACCATCTCACAGTGCTTTCCTGTGCACGTTATAACATCCTGTTCCAATGAGTCAAAGCCTTTTTCACTACAGCATGGAAAATATTTCAAAGAAATGTTAAGTGTGACACTGATTAATTATTAACTAACAGTGCACGTACCTGAAGTCTTTGACATCTGCGTCGATTCCGTTCTGCACAGGCAAACCATTTGTTTTATCCATCACATCCCCCTCCTCCTTCAGATCTCCTAATTTATCGCCATCAAATGTGCCCTTATTTTTCTTATCCCCTTTGTCATTCTCATCATTCTCTGCATCCCTTGGCCCCTAGGCAAAAGAGACATTATTTTAATAAGCTTAGTTTTCAGATCGATTTCACTTCTATTTCGAGGTGGTAACAAATCAAAGAAACATGTCACAATAAAGTAAAGCCACTTGCAAACATTAGTTCTTACAAATAAAAGTGTAAAAAAGCAAAGTAGTCCATCATAATTGAAGAAATAAGGGAATTAGGTCTCACTCTTCCAAGAGAGGTTTTATCTACTTGGTTTCTTCCATTTATTAATTCAGGGTCAGCTTCCATAGGCTCTAAAAATCCCACCCAAAATAATTCTAAAGAATACTTATCCAGATCTTCTTTCTAGATGGGACTTAGGCACTTCAAAATTAACTCAGGAACTTTTAAATACAACAGCATGTACTGAAGGGGCATAAACTGAACTAGTGCCTCTCCGAAAGTCACTGTCTCAGCGTCAGAGATGTAGTAATTGCCTGGACAAGTGCATGTATTTGAGCACAACGGGATCACCTCATTTTGGGAGGGCATTACTGTGATTTACACGGTGAATTCCGAAGTATGGCTCATTTAAGAGCACTCAAGTCAATCACTAGCTCACTCACTGGTTTCTATAATCCTAAAGCACATTTGGGGGGAAGGAAGAAAAACAAAAAAAGTGAACGAAAACAAAAAAAAAGGATTTCTGTTCTGTTGAGCGTTTTATGAGTGGTATTACATCTGCAGCTTTTCTGCCCTTAATGTCTGCATTTTATTTTACTTGGGAGAAGAATAAAGGGTGATTATGCCAAGGGCAGAGTTTTGAACAACAAAAGGGAGAGGAAAAACAACATAATTTATGATAAAAAACAGCAAGGGGCATATAAACATATTTATCAGAGACAGCTTTGGTGCTGTGACAGAAACAGACATTCATACCCTGTCTTCCACTTCATTTGAGGGGAAAGTATTCCATACGTAACGGCATTTGAACCCTGTATCAAGCAAGTAATTTTCACATTCTCTCTAAATGCATGGGAGGACTTTTCCCCCCCATATTTAGAAAAAAAGATTGTTTTAAAAGCAATCATCATCTGATGCTTCTTCTTAAAGAAAATAAAATCATGCTTTCATAATATTAGAGAGCAGACTTTGAAATGCCAATTGTAAATACAAATTTGGAGCCCAATTCTCACCCGCACAATGTGATATTCACCAGTGAGACCCTTCGTTTCAGAACTGGCACCCTGACTATCAATGCTGCAGAGCAGACACCCCTCTAACCCCCAATTCGGATGATAAATTGGCTCCTTCCACTGATTGTTCATTTCTCAAAAATCATCTTCCTTAGGCTCGGGGTTCAAGAAGGTTATCAGGTGCCCACTAACGAGGGATAAAAATAAGAGGATGGATGAAGGAAACCACAAATCAGCTCCCTGAAGAGATGAGCACAGCAGCCTGACAGTAACAAACCTACTCCGCTTTTATGTTTTTCGACAATTCCTGATCTAGCACTTGGCTGATGAGTTAGAGCGGAGACGCGGCCCCTTTTTCCCCACTACAGGGATAGGCCTTGATTACGTCCCTCTCACCACATCCTTAGATTTGAGGCAGCAGCGACTGTGCTCCCTTCCCCACCCCACGAAGCACAGTGACTAATGCCACCTCTCCATAGGAAACGATATGCCCTTGAAAGCATTCCCCAGCTGGAGTGGCTTTCATAGCTACATTACTTTTCTAGCATCATGACATGGAGCTTTTTTGTTCTTAGCCAGCAACAAAGCAGCCACACGCTCATTCAAAAACCACAGGTATATTTGCATCCTTCTCCAACGACAAGCTTAGATGGGGTGTTACTGCCGGTGTGCTTAGCCGAAGAACCAGGGAATGTCAGCAACCTTCACATCCTGCACACCCATCTCCCATACTGCATCCCCTCAGTCAAGAACAACGGTTCGTCTGCTAGCCGACCCGTTTTAAGAAAGATAGCTAAACTAAGAGCAAATAAAAGACATAAGAAACATCTGCCTTTAGGAATGGATTAACAAACAAACAAACCAAGCAGCAAATGGAGAAAATAACATAATGGGAACTCAAATGTCAGAATCAGGCACACTTACAAATCCTCCTTTCCTTAGGCAGGAATCTCCAGGAGATGAGCTCAACACATACTCCACCATGCTAACTCCAAGTCCTCCACTCTCTGACCGTGGTGAAAGCACTGAGTTGACTTCACTATTCACATGAAAGCCCTGACCAGGTCTTCTCTGAACCATAATTGGTTGGGAAACAGAGTGATCTGGAACAAAAACATGTGTAATTCTTATAAGTAGATCCAACTATTCAAAGGAGGCAAGTCATTAAATACGTACTCTCTAGTGTCTTAATTATACTAAGTGCCAACTTTTTGACTCTGATGATGTCCATTAGAAAAAGCAGGATGGCTTTCTCATTTTTTAAGTACTAGAACCTGTAAACCTACAAGCAATAACTACATTTACAGTCTAAAATCATAAAATTTCAGAAATTTAAGTCTCTAAGTAAAGGGTGCGATTAAAAAAAACCAAAGTTCTAGTTTTTAGTTTTACTAAACTCTTGCATTAGTACAGTGAAAAAAAAACAATCAGACTTGGTTTGTCATTTAAAACATAATCCTACCGTTACGCCAGTCTACATTTGTTTTCTTGGTCATATGAACTGCCATATTCATGTCATGCTCAGTTTCTCTTAGCTGCTATTTCAACAGTAAAAAGTTTATGATAACTTCATTTCTTCGTCCTCATCCCCTGTCCTCCTGCATCTGCTCCATCCCTTTATCCTCTCTGCAGCATGAGGGTTTGAGATCCAACCACAACAGACTAAGGTTTGATGTCTCCAAGCCCTTATGAACTCTGCAAAAATTGCTGGCTGGGCAGCAGAAGGTGACCTTACATCCCCAACGAGGGGAGGGAAGAAGTACTCCGCTCCCGCCTGCTCAGCCTGGCAACAGTCAGCGAGTCAGTACCAACAGGCAGCAGACAGAGTAGTTGCCAGGGCATGGTGGAAGGGACATGCAATGATATCGATACTGCAGTTTCCTTATAAAGCAGGGATAATCTGTCAAAAGAAATAATTCTATTCTGCCATTGCTCCCAGCTATGCCTTCCTGCCCTCTCCCTCAAGCCAACACAAGAATCTATGGGGCCAGAAAGTAAAGTGGACGGGGGAGACTTTTCCGGGATAAAGTTAACAAAGAAAAGGTAAAAGCTAGTTTTAATCCAGATCAATTCCCCAGTGGTTTCATTGCACTGCTGCATAACTACTGGTACCACCGGAAGCGAAGAAAGAAGTGGCCTGCATCAGACAGGACTGCTTCCTTTAGCAGTATGGGCTTCAAATGCTTTAAAACTACAACTTCAAGGCAGAGTAGCAAAGAACCAAAGCCATATATATGGGAGGACTGCAGTGTATACCGTGGACACAGACAGAAAGGAAAATGGATGGAGTGAAGGGCATCTTACAGAGAACCAGGCTTCATTAGTTCTACTGTTAATGGAACAAACTAGTCTTCCGGCCAAGGACACTTCCACACCGCTCCTCCAAGTTGTGCTCCTTGCTCTGGGGCAGTGACCTTGAGCAACTGCTCAGACCATGGCTGTTCTCTTCATTTTAGATGAGCAAAAGGGGAAACTATGACTTCCCTGACTCACAGACAGCAGTGCAGACCATGGCTCAGGAATAAAGGCTGTAAGGTGCACAGGATTAATTGAGAATAAACAAAGGAAGAGATGAGGCTTTGACTCATGGAGATTTGTGATCAACCAGCGTAGGAGGCTGCCTCCCCCAGATGTCTACCCTGCCTGTCTGGTGGAAGTAACCAGCCCCACAACAGAGGCAAAGGAGAAAGTCTCCTTCTCAGCTGTTGCTGTTCAGAGTTTGGCTCAGGCCTTTAATCCACCCTCAGCTTCAGTTTATATTACTACAACCAGGTGCAAACTGCTGTTGAGGGGTGGATACAGGCGTTGCTCTGGAGAGCCACTGTGGACAGGCAGGTCAGATGGCTGGAGGAAGCAGCTCCCCAAAATCTCCCCAGTACCCAGCCAGACTGCAATATGCGTCCAACCAGATTTTGAGAAGCTCTATCCCCTTTTCATAGCCATTTAAAAATTTAATTAATAAAGAAATGCCCTTATCGCTATCCCAAGGCGTTGACTCTAAAAAAAAGAAAAAAAACTCCACACAACAGTGAAGTTCCTCTAAATCACATCTCCCCTGGAGCTGTAGTTCTGCGCAGCTGTTTGGAAACTGCACGAGATACTCAGCAGTGTTTAAGGAGAATATTCATTACATACAGGAAGCACAGAAAATAAAAGTAAAAGGTTAGCATTTCAAATTCAGCACATGCATGTGATTTTTTTTGTCATTTAACTAAAACCAACCTGAACACACTCCCCTTAAATTCAAAATAAAGGACAGTCCCTGATCCAAGAACAAAATTCTTGGCAGATAAACTTCAACACTACTAATTCAAAGTATCACTTTTTTTTTTTTTTTCTTTTTTAAACTGAATGTTGTTGCATTTTGGTTGGTTTAGTATTTAAAAAACTGTGGTGTCTCTTTTTTTCCTCTTTTTTTCCACTAATCTGCTTCTCCAATATCTTTGTTCAAGCTTCAAGTAATCAGTCTCAAGGCAGAATACACACCAGAAAGTTTAAATTGAAATTTTAATGGCAATCTAAAATTTTTAAGCAGATAAAGATAAGGGCACACACGTTCACGTTAGACAATCTTTTTGTACCTATGGATATCTTTTAACTCTATCACAAAGCAATGCGGGGGTTTCTATTAGTTTTCCATTATATAAAAGGTAGGGGGGGGGGGGGGGGGGGGGGGCAGGAAATCTTTTAAAAGCTGTGTCATCCAGACTGGCCAGAAATTTTGAGTAGATGAGTTGCACATTTCTGTATTCAACCCCAACTAAATTAAGTAAATAATTGAGCTACCTGATGTTCCCCAAGCACTGTCTCTCCACTGATCTCCCAGAAATATCCCTTTTGGTCCATCTTTGCTGGAATCATCAGATTCCCAAAACTTTTTACCCGGCAACAGCTGCTGCAATTAAAAAAAAACAAAAAACAAAGCATGATTAAAATAAGTATAAAATGCAAACATAAACCATAAGCGTCTCCCTTCTAAACATGAATCAATCATTAAACACAAACTGATACATGCTTTATAATCAAAATATTTATATACTCCTAGGGTGAAAGCCATACAGCAACTGAGATAATGATTCAATCTCAGCAATCCTCTTACATTCTTAAATGCTTTATGAACCCCACACACGTAAGCACACACATACAATTTACATTCTCCAGCCTCTCAGCATGAGAGCTACTTGTGAGAAATACATTAGCAGAAAACCTGTTCTGATCAGAACGTTATCATGACTTCCACCCGAGCAGTGAGGAAACCTCTAAAACCAGCCAGCATTTCCAGCACAAATTCTTGCCTTCAAATACTGAGGTTCTGATGCTGGCAGGGACAGAATAGCTCAAGAGGTGCCAAGAGCTCTCACTTCTCACTTATTTAATGACTGCTGAGGACTCTCCATGCTAGGAAGGTTATTTGTAAACACTAATGAGAGTGAACAGTTCTGGGCCACCGCACCTGCCACACATGTATTGTTCCTACTGGATGAAAAGAAAAAGGTTATGCACTTACTGCAAACGAGACAGAAAGTCATCCTTGGCTTGAACAAATCCAAGGAAGATTGTTCTGAAGTTCAGAAGATGGCAGAAAGACCAGTGTACCCTATTTAGCAGATGTATTTTGAAAATACCAGCTTCACCAATGAAACACCTGCCGCGTGGTAGCTACATATAGCAAGGGGAATTTCAAGCCCTGCTTAAGTGCCTTAGATGTCAAGCATACAATCTCCAAATTAAATCTTCAGGCTGAATGAGATGTATGCAATTCAGACAGGAAACAACAGTACATTCATAGCAAATTAACAAAATGAATGAGCTTTGCCTGCTGAAGTCAGAATAAAACTAAAGGAACTGGAAGATTAACAAGTACTTGCATCTGTTTGAAATTACCACAGAACAAACAAGAATTATCAGATTAGTCGATGTCCCCTATATACCAGAAATGTAGATAACTCTATACTCCATCAGCAGACGTGGACATTTTAAGGCTATAGCATAACAGAGTAAATAGGCTGCTGGATGAAGACTAAGCGAGTGTAAATGATTTAAGAACTCCCAGCTTGGAGTGTACTCTGGTTTAAAACAGACAATCAGAAAAGTTGTGCTCAATACTTTTTAACTCAAGGAAGATCTGTTTACTCAGAAATGTATTGCAAAGCAGGTCTGTATGTACGAGATTAAACCTGAGGTTCAGGTTTGGGTAACTGGACAGATTACACAGAAGACTGGGATTGTAATGAAAGCAACATCAATTTTACCCCACACCTGAAAAGCAGAATTCCTTCCACACTCTAAAAAGAAAAAAAAAAAAAACACACCACACACAACAAGCCCCAAACCCACCAAAACCACAAACCCAGAAAACCAAACCCCCCACCACAGATGAGAGCCATTACATTCAGCTATTTCTATTTAACTAACACTCAAAGTTGCTGTTGACTAAAAGTAATCCTGCTTTTGCACCAAGATCAGTAGAGAATAAGATCAACCCCTGACTTAGAACACAGTCGTTGCCTACAGGGGAAAGTAAATAAATAAATGCAAACCCTTTGGAAAAAAAGCTTGTGCAGGCACAAGATGGAGGGCAGGCACGGCCGGCGTCTGAGCAGACCTCTGAGGAGAAGCACTGCTGTTTCAGGGGCTCTCAGTCAAACCTCAAGCTGTACACAGACACACAAGTTTTACAGCAGCAGAAACACGTCCCAGCTCCTCAGCTCGCTGCTGCTGCTGCCTGTAAGCCCTGAGCAAGAGCTGGCACGGGGGCATTTTCCAGCTGAACTGAAACATTTATGTATACACCTGCGTATTGTCTACACAAGCACATAGGAATGTAAAACAAAGCAACCCTCAGGTACAGAGGTTGAATCAACATCTCAAACTAACACATAACAGGTCACATTTTAGGATGACCTGTGCCAGCAACGCTGCTCTTGAGCCAGGCACACCAGGAGCTCCAGTGTTGCCGCTTCTGAACCAGCCGAGTTCCTCCTACAAGGCTGAAGACACCACGCGTGTGTGTGTGCACTGTTTGCTGCCACAGCGCTAAACAAAGCTTATTTACTGATAAATGTTGCTCAATTAAATTGTTTTTCTTCTACTGTAAGTATACAGTTGTATAACTTCTCCACCCTAACCTCCTCTTCCAACTGGCCATAGCCTTCCTCCTAAAAATTTAAAAGCACCAATCTCCAGATTAGTTTTCAAATGAAGGATGAGATGAGCTCATTCACCCTCTATGCCCAAGCACAATGCAGTGTACTCCAAAGTCCTTCAAAGATACGTGCACTTTAGCCCTACCTGGAGGTACGGACACCAGTGCCCAGGCTGTCCCTAGGGCAGGTGAAAGAGCTGTACGAAAAGTGATAGGGACATGCAGGACCTGTACGCACCCTGCTTCACAGTATTCGTTACAGATGCAGAATCTAGGATCACAGAATGGTTTGGGTTAGAAGGGATCTTCAGAGATCATCTAATCCACCCCCCCTGCCATGGGCACAGACATCTTTTGAGCATCCTTCAGGTTGCTCAGAGCCCCATCCAATCCGACCTTGAACATTCCCAGGGATGGGGCATCCTCAACTTCTCTGGGCAACCTTCTCCAGTGTCTCACCACCCTCATCATAAAGAATTTCTTCCTTGTGTCCAACAAGTCTCCCTGTAGCACAAGGGAGGAAA